ACAAGCCATGGAAAGAAATACAGCTCAACACAGAGATAACAACCGGGACACTTTCCAGGATACCGTCCTGTAGTCCCAATTACAGCTGTCCAGTGGATCTCCCGGGATACCATCCCGTGGTCCATCATATATATGTCCGAAGGATCTTCCAGGATCCCGTCCCGTAGTTCGACTATCAATGCGCGGGGATCTACCAGAATCCCAATCCGTAGTCCCAAATGTAAATACCCAATGCTGGGGGAATCTACCAGGTGCATTCCCGTAGTTCCATATAACTGTGCAGGGGGATCTACCGGAAATCTAACCCATAGTCCCAAAGTAAATATGCTGGGGGATCTACCAGGAATCTAACCCATAGTCCCAAAGTAAACAGACAAGGGGGAGCTACCGGAATCCCACATCCATAGTCCCAAAATAAATACACAGCAGTAGCAGGAAGATAAACAGAAATAGCAAAATTCATATTAAGGCAATAAGCGACTCTAGCCTAGCATGCTGCACATAATTCAAGTAAGGCAGGTTAAATCAAATAAAGCAATTAAGTCACTTAGACATGCTTTCCTAAGCTATGACAGGCTTAATAGTGCAAGTAATAGAAACAGGAAAGGAAACATACTAGTAAGTTCTTGAAGAAAATCGGATTTCCAACAATTAGCACAAGTACGCACTCGTCACCTCACGTAAACAAGGCATTTCAATTAGCAAATATACCAATCCTAAGGGGAAGGTCCCCCACACAAGGTTAGACAAGCCACTTACCTCGAACCGGCTCAAAATCAACCCAACACCACGCTCTTGCCATGAGTACTCAACTCCAAATGGCCCAAATCTATTCAATTCAATCGCATAATGTAAAAAACACTTCAAGTAACTGATTCTACAATTAAATTCTAAGCTAATACACAAAATTATGTAAAATGACCAAAACACCCCTCGAGCCCACGTCACGAAATCGGGTGAAATTTTTATTTTCAGAAACCTTGTACTCTCACGAGTTCATACATAACAAGAATATTGAAATCGGAGTCCAAATGAGCCCTCAAATCCTCATTTAATGGTCTTTTAAACTCAAGCCCTAATTACCCATTTTCCCAAAATTGTCACAACTAATTAGGTCTTTAATCACATAAAAATGAATTATAAAGTCAAGGATGTTACCTCCAAGTGATACCCCTTTGTTTTCCTCTAACATCTCTCTTAAAAGCTTCAAACCCGGATGAAAATGGTGAAAGGATCCCTCAGATACGCGAAGGCAACTATTTATATGTTCTGTCTAGGCATTTCCGCATTTGCAGCCCTGGGACCGCATCTGCAGTCCCGCTTTTGCGGAACACAAACTGCATCTGCGACAATACATTAAAATTCCCAATTCCACACCTGCGACCTTCTCACCGCATCTGCGGTTACACAGGTATGTAAATACTACCGCATCTGCAGCCTCTGTTGTTCCTCCTTATTTTCGCTTCTGCGGCTCCGCACGTGCGGAACCCAAACCGCAGGTGCGGTTATGACAGATACCAGCTGAACCTGTAACCTCTTAACTTCAAAAATCCTTCCGTCAACTATCCGAAATCATCCCGAGGCCCCCGGGACCTCAACCAAAGGTACCAACAAGTCATAACCCACTATTCAAACTTGTACCAATCCTTAAAACACTTAAAACAACATCGAAACCTCAAATTAACCAAGGATTTAAGCCTAAGAACTCCAAATTTCTCAAAATACTCTTTTGATTAAAAAGTCTATCAAACCTCGTCTGAATGACCTGAAATTTTGCACACACGTCACATTCAACCCTACGGAGCTACTCCAACTTTCAGAATTCCATTCAGACCCTCAGATTAAAATCTCACTATTGGACCGGAAACTCCAAATATTCAACCTTCGGCATTTCAAGCCTAAATTAGCTACGGACCTCCAAATCACTATCCGAACACACCCCTATACCTGAAATCACCCAACGGAGCAAACGGAACCATCAGATTTCCATTCTGAGGCCGTCTTCTCACTGTTCCAACTACAATCAACTTTCCAACACTTAAGCTCTCATTTAGGGACTAAGTGTCCCAAAACTTTCCGAAACTTAAAACTGAACACCCCGAAAAATCAAAATAGCAGAAATGTACTTGGGGAAAGAAATTAATAGGGGATCGGGGTGTAAATCCTTAAGACGACCGGCCGGGTCGTCACACTATCCCCTTAGATTGGGAACACCAGAATGCCCAAGAAACACATAATAAACACGAAGACCCTACGGTGAATCCAACCTAAAGAAGCATTTGAGAACTCATCATCAAAAAGACGGTAGGAGCTACTGTGACCGTTGTGAGCACGTGATTTTTGCCCTATAAGAACTACTCGCAAAAATTCAAAAATAAAATAGTTTTGTGTTGTTTGTGATTTATTTGTATTTTTGTCTGTGCATGTTTATTTCTACTTTAATTAAGAAAATACAAAAAAAACATGTGTTGCATGTGCGTTTAGGATTTAATTTTACAATTAGGAATTAATTAAACAACATTTGGATTTGCGAGAATGAAAATCACAAAAATATGTACTTTGCATTTTTTGGCGTTTAAAATCAAATTGTGTGATTATCTTTGTATTTAATTTTGTGTGATAATTATCATTGAGGGTTAATTAGTATTTTTTCTAAGTTAATTTTGGCTTTACAATTTATTTTGGAATTTTTGGTAATTAGGAATTAAAAAGAAAATAAAAGGAAAAAGAAACAAGAGAAGAAGGGTAAAAATCGGACTGGGCCAGTTTTAAAAAGGAAATGTTCAGGCCCAATGTCACACCCCATGTCCAGGCCCAACCGGCCGGTCCAAGAGACCATACCAAACGACGTCGTTTCATCGCCAATCAATCTCGACCATTCAATCATCCAATCTAACGGTCCAGATCACCCCTCCCATAACCCGTGTTGACCCATTCCCCATACCCGTTCCAGTACCCGGACCGCCCCAGTACTACTCCAAACGACACCGTTCCTCCTTAGTGAAGTGATCAAGGCCGTTGATCGTGAATGATCCAACGGCCAAGATCAAATCCCCACCCCACAATATATTCCTAAACTATACCCTGCCCCCTAAGCCATACCCCCCCTTTCGCCTTCGTCTCTAACCTAGAGACAGACCCAACAACCTCCGCCTTCAACCACCACCCTCCGCCCACCGAAAATCGCCTTACGGCGGTTCTGGTGGTCCAAACAGCCCCAAAATTACACCATAGCCTCCCCACGACGTCCTCTTTCCAAATCCTGTATCGGTTTCCCTCGAATCAGTACCCAACGTTTCGAATCTTGGATCGAAGAATCGAACCAAACCCTAATCCGTCCAAACGACCCCATCTTTACACCACTAATTCCCCTCGACCTCCACATTCTGAATCCCTAACCCTTATCCCTTGAATCATCCTATAACCTCTCGAATATTCGATCGAAGATCCCCGTCCCAAACCCCAGCCTGTCCACTTAACCCCAAAATCACACCCAGTAATCACCTTGACCTTCTCATCGCTAATCCCTAACCAAATTGGATCGAATCTGAGTAAAACACGTCGAATGACGGATCTAGGTTTCAAACGGTTCGGGGCTGTATCAAAGCTGTCAGGGTCGAATGGGTTCTAGTTAGTATTATAAGCCTATTTCTGATGAAATAGACATATGATACTAACTGGAACTCAAGTTCGAAAAAGCATGTTGGTGGGATCCGAGAAAAGAACAGTGAGTTCTTCTTAGCCTCTTCTTTTCTTTTTTCTATATGTTTGTTTGTCTGTTTTAGTCGTAATTAGTTGTTGCTTTAGGTTTTCAGTTTTAGTTAATTCTTAATCCAGTAAATATTCCGCCTCTTTTTCTGATTCTTGTTTAGTTTAAATACTCCAATGTTTGTTTGTGTAGTTCAATCGGTTAATTGTTAGTCTTATTGTTATTATAGTCCGTGTCTTTAAGTGTATGATTTTAGATTTTAGGTTGATTTTCTTTGTTGTGATTCAGTGCCTTGAATGCTTCATTTTTCTTTTTAGTTATAATCAAAAACTGCCACTGAGCATTAGAAGTCCAGTTGTCTTATAGTTAAATTGCTTCTAATTTGTGATAAAAATCCAGACTTTCATCTTTTTTTCCAGTATGTGTTTACTGTTTGATTGTTTTCACTCATACCTATCTGCAATGTGTTGTTTGCCTCATTTTGTAACTAATTAGAACTCCCAGGACCTTAGTTGAATAATTAGGACAGTAATTTCAGGAACTTTAGGAGGGTAATTTGGGGTTTAAAGGTTTAGAAAAATGGTCTTGCTAAGTGGGCTGACAGTAAAGCATTTAATTAACCCTTAATCTAATGTGTTAGTGGGGAACACAACATAATGGTATGGGGAGGGTCACAAGGACTTGATTAAAATATAGCATTGCCCATACACCTTTAAACTAAACAATGAAATTAGACATTTAGGAGTGGCTGTCAGGGAATATGATGGGAGACACACATTTCTTAATTTGGCCTTGTGTTAAAACAGGCTGGAAAAGGGGCTGTAGTTGGCAAATAAATAGGGGGATTTTTTTGGCAGAAGGATCAGTTTTTTGGGGGTCAGTGTAATAGAAATAGAGAGAGTTCTTGGGAGTTTCATTATTCCTGAAGAAATCAGTTGATTGCTAGCCACTGGAATCAGTAGTGTTTTCTACTTAGTTTTCCAGTAGACTTTTGGTTTCAGTCGAGACCTTCTCGGATCAGTTTGAGTGTTTTGTTGCTGTGGTATGTTTCTAGGGTCAATTTGAAGGTCATTTGGGTTTATTCGAATCGGTTTTGGGTTAATCTATTCATCTTGTTGGTTCAAAACATTCTTGAACTCTTCCTGGATTGATAAATATATTTATGGGCTGAACTGGTTCTGTTTGTGGCTGTTTGGAATTTCAAATTGCTGTTGTGAACTGCTGTTGTATTGCTGCTCGCATTTCTGCTGCTGCTGATCTTTCTTCTACTTTATTTCTGTTCCAATTCCAGGTACACTTCCTTGATTTGCTTCCATGTAATTCCAAGTTGAAGTTGAAATGAAAATTGCTACCAGATCTCTGCACTTTGGATGCTGTCTGATATAGTTTAAGTGGTTTAAATCATTACTTGTTGTTAGTCGATTAAGATGGTATTGATTTGAGCAATAGACTTAGTTGTAATAATGTGGAACGTTAAGTGAGATTGCCCTAGGTTAATCTGAATTATATGTTGCAACTGACTGTTAGTCAGCTTAAGGATCTCGAGTTTGTTGATTGGGTCAGATCGATGAGTGTGGAATGAAATTGGTTGTAGCTAACTTAGTTTGTATGTTTAGTCTAGAGTTCTCGAACTGTAGTAATGTGAGCTGAAATTATCCTTCAGTTTGGCTAGTTTATTTTTGTTCCTGATAATTTGATTATTAAAGTCAGAAGGCAGTAGAAATAGGAAATCACTTCGAGTTCTTGAATTCTCATGTGTATTGACAGTAAACTTGCATGAAACCCTGAATCGTTTGAGCATTGATTTAACATCCTCAGTATATATTTTCTTTCACCTTAATAGTATCCAATAGCTCATCAAAAGATAAGTAGAAATAATCCGAGCTTTAAGCTGAAATCAGAAAGGATAGTTGTTTCATCAATATGAATAGGTAAATCACGTTTTTCCTTTGTTGTAAATGGTAAGATACGAATAACTTGAAGTTGTCCACGAATACTTGAAATTCAGTTTGAATGGGCGATCAAGGCTTAACAGCCTATCTCGAATGGACTGGGCTCTGATGCATTTCAGGCGGCCCAAGTTTGGTTTTAATTAAAACGCCCGTGTAAACCTGGGCTCAGGCCTAAGACTGGATTGCTCTCGTGTGTGCCTGGATTTTGGTCCATTTAAACGTGCG